ACACAAGTGAGGTGAGTCATAACATTAGGATGTAGGATGAAAGAAAGGGACAGAAAGGTGGTAGAACAGAATAGAAGTAGATGGAAGGATGCCTGAACGAGGATCACGCAGAGTAAAGAAGATATCAGTCTATTTCCTAAGTAGCTGGTATATAAGTAGCCAGTGCAAAGGAAGTTTAAATACAGGACGCAGGTAGTTCAGAAGAAAGAGCCCTGGCTGGGGTAGTTTAGGATATTTGGGATACAACCTCTTTTCTGCTGTTAAATAACTGTTTAACCTAGATCTTTACATTTTACTTCTCTGGCCCTCAGTTGTTTTTCGTTTTTTTTTATTTGTAACATGAGCAGATTGGTCTAGATACTACCAACTAACATTTATTGAATATTTACTATGAGTTGGTAACTTTGTTGTGGGCATTTGAACTCACAAAACAAACAAACAGACAAACAAACAAAACAAACAAAAAACACCTTTTTGGCTTTTGCTATTATTATTGCAGTTTCATAGATGAAAATGTGAAGTATTTACCCAAGATCATAAAGTGGCAGGGCCATGGTGCAAACCTGGGCAGTCTGACCCCAAATCCTGCATCCTTCCTAACCTCACTATGCTGCTCCAATAAAAGATTCCAGAGCAAACTGACAGAGAAGTAAATGCAGTGACCAAAGTCGTTTAGAGCTACTCAGGGAAGCCTCTCAGGAGAGAAATAGTAAGTTGGGGTTTTATAGTAGAGATAAATATTAAATTTAAATATTCATTGTTAATAAAGAATAGAAGGAAAGGAAGTATAATATTATGTGTACAGGCAGAGGGACAGAAGTTAATTACATGTGATGACTGCAGAACAGCCAGCTTGTCTTCAGCTAAGAGGCAGAGGTAAGATCTAATTGCTCAAGACTAAAACACCTAAGGTGGTGATTATGACAAAGTGAATTCCAGAAACAATGTGATAAAGAATAATTGAAAGAAATAAGAATGCTGGTCAGGAGGAAAATAAAACCCATAAAGGGTTATGATCATTACAATCCAATAACTAAAGGGCTGTCCTTTACAAATAGAAATTAAACTTCTGGTTAGTATCTGCACTTGACAAATCAAGAACAATGGGTGGCTGTTTCAAGGAGGCCTAGTTCATCTCAGAATAAGGAGCTTGTACTATAGGCTATTGTTATAAAGAGATTCACAGAATCGAGGGCAGGTTGAGTTAGAAGATTATTAATCTTTTCTCCAACATGACGGGTGTCTGATTGTCTAAAGGTTGGCATGAAGGTTTATCATTATTTGATTTCTGAATCAAACTACAGATCTTCCCACAGAAAATGGTAATAGATGTTCTGGGAAAATTATGGAGGCAACAGAGATTGAAGTAGAGTTCAGAAGTGCAGAGGTCTCAGTCTAAGACTCATAATGCTTTGAGGGTAATTTTTTTTAGCATCCGTGGATGATTTTTTATTATTGTCTGTATTTAAGGTTTACAACATGATGTTTTGATATACATACGCAAGGCGGAATGATTAATGCAGTCAAGAAAATTAAAAATTAATATCCATCACTTCACATAGTTACCTTTGTGCATGTGTGCTAAAAGCACATACAACCTAGTCTCTTAGCAAATTTGAGGGTAATTTGAGCTTTAATTAATTTCAGCAGATTCTTATGCACTCATGACAAGAAAAACCCCATCCCAAATTGTTCACAATTGATCAGGGGTCAACAGGATCTGAACACTTGTAAATAAATAAAAATATTTCATTACATCTGAAACACAATATTTGAGCCAGGTATCTATGGTAGAAAATAGATCCCTTTTCATTTGTTTTTGTTTTTCTCTGAATCATATTTTTATAAGATGGCTGTGAAGATAAGTGATTCCTAAGGACAGTCATTCTCTCATGGGTTGAGAAAATGGTTGGATCTTTTTGAGCTACAGTTCTTCTTTCCATAAAATGGCGTGATTAGATGAGATGAGCTCTAAATCGCTTCTTGATTTAACGAAGTATGAACCTTTTATGCACCTATGAGTACAAAGAACAGATTACAAGCATAAGATAATTTTCTTTAGCTATCTTTGAATTGGGGTATTCTTTGTGTCACTCCTTATGTCTCCTGATCTTACCCCATCCCCTCTGTGCTTAACGTGTTTGTTACTTTTTTTTTTTAATACCAGTATAATTAGCTTTGTAAAGAAATATAAATCTGTTGGGGGTCATTACACTTTTGTCAAATTCTTTCTGTTCTGAATTACAGGTTGTCTGAATCTGATTCCCACCAACCAATGAAGAGACAGAACCAGAGCACAGTTGCTGAGTTCATCCTCATAGGCTTCTCAAATCTGGGGGATCTGCAGATCCTTCTCTTCTTTATCTTCCTATTAATCTATCTGACCACTCTGATGGCCAATGCCACAATCATGACTGTAATTCACCTGGACAGGGCGTTGCACACTCCTATGTACTTTTTCCTCTTTGTCCTTTCCTGCTCTGAAACATGCTATACTTTGGTCATTGTACCCAAAATGCTAACCAACCTGCTCTCCAAAATTCCAACCATTTCTTTCTCTGGGTGTGCTGCCCAGCTCTATTTCTTTGTGGGCTTGGCTTGTACCAACTGTTTTCTCATTGCCGTGATGGGCTATGACCGCTATGTTGCCATCTGCAACCCTCTCAACTACACACTCATTGTCAGCCGAGCCACCTGCATGCGGTTGGTTCTAGCCTCCAGCTTTTGTGGTTTCCTGACCTCTGTGGTTGTGAACATCCTGGTGTTCACTGTGCCTTTCTGTGCCTCCAACAGGATCAACCACTTTTTCTGTGACATTTCCCCTGTTATAAAACTAGGCTGCACAGACACCAACCTGAAAGAGATGGTTATCTTCTTCCTCAGCATCCTGGTATTGCTGGTTCCCCTTGTGTTGATCTTCATCTCCTATGTCTTCATTGTTTCCACCATCCTCAAGATCTCTTCAGCAGAGGGACAGCGTAAAGCTTTTGCCACCTGTGCCTCCCACCTTACGGTGGTCATTGTGCACTATGGCTGTGCTTCCTTTATCTACTTGAGACCCACATCCCTGTACTCCTCAGATAAGGACCGGCTTGTAGCAGTGACCTATACTGTGATCACCCCACTACTCAACCCCCTTGTGTACACACTGAGAAATAAAGAAGTGAAGCTGGCTCTGAGAAAGGTTCTCAGTAGATACTCATTTCCAAAAACTGTATGAGTGAGTTGATATGTCAGGAAATTTATATTCATGAAAGTGTCCTGGATAGACTTTAATTCTGTAAATAATCTGTCTTTTTTCTAAGACTCTCTAAAAAGTAAATAAATAAAGACTTTGGATAAACCTGATTCTTTTTATTAGAAGTCTCTTCTTTATGTTTAGCTCATATCCAGTGTAGAAGTCATACCAAATGGTTTCCAGAAAGTCCGTGAACATGGAAACTTCTAAGGACTTAAGACATGCTATTTTCATGCATTGAAATTGTTGGTTTTCCCATATCAACACTACAAATGCTGCATTATAACTGAGGATATCAAAACTGGTGATACCCCTTCTAAGCTGATGGAAACAGTGAAAATGTCATTTAAATCTGAATACTTCTAAATATTTGTGTATTTGTATGTAAGTGTAAATATATATAGAGAGAAAATAAATAGATATAGATATAGATATAAATATAGATATTTATAAATATATAGATGGGGATTAAAAATAAATATTTTCAATTTCAAGTTCAAGGAATTGTTTAGGTCTTTCTTTTTCTTTTTTCTTCCTTTCTTAGCACCCAGTTATAAGAGAGAACATGTGCTATTTCTCTTTCCTGATCTGGCTTATTTCACTTAAAATAAATTTCTCCAGACTCATCCATGTTGTTGCAAATGCAGAATTGCATTATTTTTGTATGGCTAAGTAGTATTCCATTTTGTATATATACCACGTTTTCCTTATCTAGTCATCTGTTGATGGACATTTAGGTCGATTCCATATTTTGGCTATTGTAAATACAGTTGCAATGAACACAGGAGTGCAGGAATCCCTTTGACATCATGATCCCCATCAGAATAGTAGAGATGGAGGTGAGGTGGGGGGTAGGGAGGGATAGGTTGGGTAAAGGATATAAAGAAAAATCATTGTAATAATAATATGCTTATAATGAATAATATTTAAAAATAAATAAATAAATCCTAAAAAATAAATTTAAAAACAAATAAATAAATAGTTGCAGTAAGTTATTTTTAGACAAAAAGAAAATAAATTTACTTATAAAAAAATCAAGGGAAATTAAAGTTTTAAAAGGTTGATGGTAGAGTAGAAAACACAGACTTTGGAGTCACAAAGAGCTTGGTCTCAATCTTGAATCTGATCATTTTCCAGCTAAGTGCCTTGGGCTGGGTTTAACCTCTCTTACTGAAAGTTATTCCTTATGCAACATGGGACTCTTAATACCTCCTCAATGTGAGATATCACCTCCTCAATGTGAGATATCACCTCACCACAGTTAGGCTGGCTATAATAAAAAAAGACAAAGAATAACAAATGCTGGCCAGGAGATGTAGAGAAAGGAGTGCCTCTACAATGTTGGTGGGACTGTAAATTAGTACAAACACTATGGAAACCAATGTGGAGATTTCTCAAACAACTACAGATAGATCTTCCACACAATCCAGCTATCCCACATCTGGGTACATACCCAAAGGAATGGAAATCATCATGTCGAAGAGATACCTGCACTCATATGTTTATTGCAGCTCTGTTTACAATACAAGATATGGAACCAACCTAAGTGTCCATTAATAAATGACTGGATAAGGAAAATGTGATATATATATATATATATTTATATTTATATATATATATATATATATATATA